AGACTTATATATATATATATATATATATATATACATACACACACACAGACACACACACACACACACACACAGCCCATTAAAGCTCAGACTGGCGTTCCACTTGCGTGTGCTCAACAGCGTCGAGCAGCAGGCGTCTGCAGACTACAGAAGCTTTGCCTTTTACTGCTCCAAGCAGCCAAATGGAAGCCACCTGCTGTCCTTAATTATACGTTATTATTTTCTGGAAGAATTATTAGTCACACCTCTTTAGCTCTGGACGTGCCAATTTGGTTGCAATTGATGCTCGTTGCACATGTGGCATCCCAGCGTGTTGTTCTCAACAAAAGCACCTTCGTTGAGGTTCGACGGCTTGGTTTGATTTCGAGGTGACAGAAGAAATCAGAAAAGCAGTTTTTTGTAGTTTGTTCACGCTAAGGCGATTTTAAACACAAACGGTTCGTCACGGCTGACGGATGAGGAAGATCGCTGCACGGTAATTGCAGCTGTGTTTATGTGTAATCAATACAAACCGTACGCTTCTGTTTGCAGTTAAACTGCACTGTACGGATGCGTTTGGAGCAAACGACCCCAGGAGCGGCTCACATGATCGGAGCCAAACAACAGATGACTCTGAAGTTTAACTTCGGCACGCAGTTCTTGCAACACGCACCAGTTGAGCCCATGAGGATGCATTTACCAGACACATCTGAGTTTGCATCATAGCTATAAATCTGAGAAAAGATTCGGTGAAATCAGTCTCTTTAAATCGTTAATTTATGCTCCTTTTTGTGAATCTAATCAGTGCATGCTGTTCTAAAGAAAAATTGCTGTATAATTAAAATATAGGAGCTATTGGATAATGAATTAGCGGTGGGTGGTGTGACCAAAATATTATTTCCCAGTATGAGTTGTTTAAATGTCAGAAACTATATATATTCCCAGCTAACAGGGAATGTTCTGAAAAAGTTATTTTAAAGTTTTAAAGGTTCTTTTAAAGTAAACAAACGTTCTTCCAGTAGCATTAATAGAATGTTTGTTCAGAGTTATTGAGTCTTTAATAATGTTCTCAAAATGTTATTTATACATCGTTCATGGAAACATTGTAGTTGACCCTTCGTCTAACATTTTTAAATGTAACTACTTGTTTCAGAACGTTCAGAGAACATTCAAACGTAACGATGTTTGCAAAATGATAAAATGCTAAACATTCCATTAATGTTTGCATAACAAAAGAAATAAAAGTTTTAAAAACAACATTTTGTACATTCAGAGAACATTCAGAAATAAAGTTTTCATAACATAATGGACATATTAGAACTTTTTTTTTTTTAGCTGGGATCATGATAGTTATTTTTGTTAAAAATTCAATTCAAAAACAATTTATATAATACACAACCTTGTGGGAATGCCCATTTTTTAATAATTTAAATATGAAAAAGACTGGAGTAATGATGCTGAAAATTCAGCTTTGCATCACAGGAATAAATTACAATTTACAATATGTTAC